TAAGTGTCATCCATCCCCATTGATGGAGTAAACTTTTTTATTTTACTTCCATTCTGCTGCCTGTGTGTCATTTGCCAATTCTTTCTGTAAGAATTTGTCAATGATCAGTGGCTCTCAGCTAGGGACTATTTTCTGCCTCCTTCCCCTCCAGGGGACATTCAACAATGTCTGGAGAAATTCTTGATCAATGGAGAAGAAAGTGTTACTAGCATCTGATGGGTAGAGGCCAAGGATGCTGCTAACCATCTTCCAGTACACAAGACAGTCATATAACAAAGACCACCTGGCCCAGAATGTCCATAGAGCCAGTTTGAGAAAACCTGAACAATAATTATCATGTCTTCTAAATTTTTTCCACAGGAGTCCAGAGTACAGGTGTGACTATTTTGATGACTCATTTGGCTTTGAGCTATATTTTGAAAATATGTGTTAAAAAAGAATGAAGAAGAATGAACGCTACCATTTATTAAATACCCTTTTTGCTTCAGTCCTAGTGCTAAATGTGTCCATGGAGACATCATCCCTCATTTCATCATTTTCCCCAGAACTCTACTACTTGAAGGCCAAATGTTGACATAAAGTGTCCAGAGCAAACAGAAGCACATTATAATTTTCAAGTAAGTGGTGTAATTTAAAATAGAAACCATTGACATTGATTTTTGGGTGGAGGATTATATAACATTTCTATTTGATTTTAGTCAAATGAACATGTCTAACCATGATTGATAGGACTAGAATAACCTTTCTACTGACTTGAGAAGAACTAGAGACCCAGACAGAATTCACATTCCAGCACCATGACTGAGGCTGGTGGTAAGAAACATGCCCAGGATTATTCCCTGACTTCCAACACTGGCTCTTTCTGCCTGAGCCTACAACATCTTCCCCTCAGGGCCCCCTTTCAGGGAAGGGGGAATTGCCTAAGACTTGAAAGTTTGATAAATAGCATCTAGTTCACTTGACTGGCTTCGGGAGAAGGAGATGGAAATCTTTACATGGAACCATTTCACTTGAGGAATCCCAGTGTTGTCCAAGAATCAGGGCAGTGACAGAGATGAGATAGGAAGCTGAGTCAGACTGAGGGTTTTCTCTTGATTAGCAAGAAGGGTGTACAGTGCTGAGACTAAGGCTGAGGCAATATCCAAACCCATGGGAAAGAGTGCAGTTATCACTTAATGACAGTTGTTGTACAACACCTTGCTATTCATGGCCATGAAGTGACAAAGTCAAGGTCACCTGGGCATTCTTCTCCCAGAGCCTTTGTTCATGATTTACCTGCTCCAAGGTCTGGGAAGCTGGCCTTTCTGGATGCTTCTCACCATGCCCTTTGCAACCTCAGGTTTCCTCCCATCCCTGTGGAGCTCTAAACATGCAGACATGATTGATTCCTTTCCAGTCTTTGAATTGCTTTGTCTCTTGCCTCTGGTCGGTGCCCCTGTTGGTTCCTCCTCTTCCCTCCTCACCCTTTACTTAAATAACCTACACTGACTGTAGGTCTCAGCTCAGACCACCTCTCTCTGCAAAGTGTTTTGAGCTCTTGCCCTGCTCTGTGTGCACCCCAATAGCACATGTGCACTTGCCCTGTGGTGGAATTCATCATTCTGTGCTGTTTTCTTTTTGCCTTCTCTGTGACTATCTATTAGCAGGAGAACCACATAACATCACTGCTGCTCTGTCCCATTCCACTGGTACCCGGAGGAAGAGGCCCAGAGAATGGATGACTGCTCTATGCTGCTCCTTCACATTCAGCCCACCTGCCTTGTCTCCCCCTTGTATGTCTCCACCTTGTACTCTGTACAGTGAAACTTTAGTGCTGAACCCTGGGGAGGCCCACGAGAGGGGCTAAAGCAGCAAGAAGTGTGTTCTCTGGAGGGCTCAGAACAGCAGGGTTTACCAGCCAGTGCAGGAGTGTTTCAATGTTTGAACAAGTTGTTGTGTTCTAGCCGTGTGCATTGTTTATTCCACCACCTTTCTGGATGTGACTGGAGACTGAGGTCAGTGGCAAGGCAATACAGAACTGTGGCTTGTTTTTTGTGTCATTTTCTTGAAAGCACATGTTAGAAATCAGCTTGAGTTTCTAATCTGTGCACAAACCTCGGTGGGCAGGGGATGACTATAGCTCTTACTGAAAACAAGTGTGTCATTTGCTTTAATTCATCAACTCCTATGTAGGTTTTGTACTTGGTGTACTTGGTGTTGAGTTGTACTTAACAAAAAGCTTCTGTGTGTGTGTGTGTGTGTGTGTGTGTGTGTTTGGGACAGGGTCTCATTTTGTAGTTCAGGTTGTCCTTGAACTCACTATGTAGCCCAGGCTGGACTGAATCTCACTGTGATCCTCCTGTCTCAGCCTCCTGAGTGCTGGGATTATAGGCATGTGCCATCACACCCAGCCAAAAAAGCTTCTTTATGTTCCTAAGAGAAGTGAATAAAGCAAAATGGCAATTTTGAGATATGTGGAAGATTGTTTATGCCAAAAGATTGACCAAATAGTTCAGAAATTTGCATGAAGCTCAACTGATTACAATTTAGCTGGGTGACTTATTGAGAATGTGAACTATGGAAAGGTCACCTTCGAAAAGCTAATCTGCATTCTCAATTTTCACTGCTATAAACTCAGTTTTACCCCAGGAAAAATAAAGAGGATTTCTGTGAGTTGAGGGCCTGTTTGTACTGACCCTAATTCTCTTGTAATGACCCTCAAGCCTTATTTTCAATAAAAAGTAGCAAGATGAAGACTTTGTATTGGGGGGAGTGGAAAGGAGCCTGACCCTGATTGGACCTTTGGGAACTGAAGTAAAGAAAAATGACTGCTGGTCCCACAGGGAAAAGTACTGGGAGGCCCTGTTTCTCTTGGCCTGTAAGGGTTGCAGTTAGGAATTGTGACCTAGAAAGTTCTTATGAGAGGCCAAATTAACTTAGTCTGCCACCCAGGAAGTGGGATCAGCAGAACTAAGAGGCCATCCCAGGAGTAGATATAGTAATAGCAGCAGCAGCAGCAGGCTCCTGAGCAGTCTCAGGGGACCACATGACAAACGGTTTTTTGCACTGCTGGCTGTCCTCTGTAGTAAAATGCATCATGAGCCACTATCTCCATTTTAGTCACCATTTCCTGTATTAGAGCACCCTTTGTCATGACTTTGCAGTGCTGCTGTTATGACTGAGATATCAAGTTTCTGCCACAGGCTCATGTATGGAAGGCCCTTTCCCCAGTGCAGCAATGTTCAGAGGAGGGATCTAAAGAAGCGACTGGATTAAGAGGGTTCTAATTTAATCAATGGCTTAGTTCATTGATGAACTCATAGCTGAATAGGCCACTAGGAGGCAGGGCCTAGTTGGAGAAAGTACATCGTGGGGGTGTGCCTTTGAAGGGCATATCTTGTCCTTAGCCCCTTCCTCTGACCCATGCACACCCCCACCTTCCTGGCTGCCATACAGTAACAGCTCTGCCACCTCAGGCCGAAAACTATTGTGGCAGCTTACCATGGACTGGCATCTCTGAAACTGTAAGTCAATATAGACCTTTCCTCTTTTAAATTGGGTAAGTCGAGTTTTTGTCCCAGCAATGGAAAGGTGGCTGATACAGTTATGTATTAGTGAGAGTGGAGAATATCTCCTGCTTTTGATGCTGGCTTGGCCTTGTGGCACGTGTTGGTCAATAGAAGGTGGGAATGAATGATTCGGGAGGACTTCAAAGACATCACCTGTCTCTGCTCCACTTCCTATCCTATGCCATGAAAGGTACAGGCCCTGATAATGTTGATTCAAGGAAATATGGTGACCTGCTGCACCTCTTCCCCACCACCCCACAGACCTGACAGCAAGAAAAATAAAAGCTCCTTGTTTTATGTCCTTGAGTTTTGAGTGATTTGTTACAGAGTACTGTGATAGCATTTGCTGACTGATATAAACACTAATATCTTTGCTCTTCTTTCATAATAATGCAAGCTCTAATTTTTAACTGGCTGTTTTGAATAAGGTAAACTTCTCCAGCCTTCCTTGGAGGTAGATGTGGTTGGATAAGTGAGTTCCGGTCAATGAGGCGTTAGTAGAAATGTTATGTCAGTGCCTCAGTAAGACTCTTCCCTAAAAGCCAGGGACACACAGTCTTGATCCCTTCCTTTTTCTTGCTGTCTGGAACAAAGACATAATGGTGAAAGCTGGCACTTCGAACCCTAAGGAGGAAGCTTGTACCTATGGCAAATGATGCTATGAGCTCCCTGGACAATTCTGTAGGAGAAAAATAAACTGTGTTCCTCTAGCCTCCTGATGAGCTAACTCCTGACACAATATTCAAGCCAGTTTTCACTAAGACTGAAAGATAACTGTGATACTCCTGTTAAGCAGACTATGGACTCTTATGCAGCAATGAACAACCCTTGCCTCACAATAATCAAAATAGATACAGCACAACCTTTGAAATGGTCTCTTGGGAGGAAGAACAGAGAATGACTGATAATGGGTTCAGTTTCTTTCAGGGGTGATAAAATCTTCTATCTTTCTGGGGTGACACAGCAGTGAAGGTTATTCAATAAGGTGAATGTACAATAACAGAAATGCATACTTTAAAAGAGTAGATTTCAAATCCAGCCAGGTGTGGTGGCGCATGCCTGAAATCCCAGCACTCGGGAGGCTGAAGCAGGAGGATCACTGCAAGTTTGAGACCAGCCTGGGCTACACAGAGTTCCAGAGCAGTCTGAAATACATAGTGAGACCCTGTCTCAAAAAAACCAAAAAAAAAACAAAAAAAGAGAGAGAGAAAGAGAGTAGATTTCAAGTTGGGTGTGGTAGTGTATGCCTATAATCCCAGTACTCAGGAGGCTGAAGCAGGAGGCTCACTGTGAGTTTGAGACCAGCCTGGGCTACTTAGTGAGTTCCAGGTCAGTCTCAACTACACAGTGAGACCCTGTCTCAAGAAAACAAAAACAAAAAGAGTAGATTTCATACTATGTGAGTTATAGCTCAATAAAATTTTTATTAAAAGGCAATCTTTTGTTCACGTTTACACTACTACAAGGCAGATGTTATTAATTCCCCCACATTCCAGTGCATGCAACTACGGCTTGGAGAACTGATGTGACCACCAAGTCCATACACTTCATCAATGTCAGCGAAAGACAACATCAGGTCCCCTGACACCAGCACCTCACAGCTTCCACTCCACCCCTCTGTGTTTGATCCCCACAGGGCCCCAAAGCAACTGGGTTCATGGACCAATTAAAGCCCTGAGGGGTGGACAAAGCTTGTCTTCAGCTCTTCTGTTCAGCACCTTCTCCCTGGCCAGCCTTCTCCTTTCTGCCCACCTTTGTCATAATGCCAACTGCCAGCTCGCTCGGGGTCTCCGTACGCTTTCTTTTACAAGCATCCTTGCCAAAAAATATAAAAAGATATTTGAGCCAGGTGTGTTGGTGTGCACCTGTAATTCCAGCACACCGGGAAGCTAAGGCAGGAGGATCACAAGTTCAAACCCAGCTTGGGCAATTTAGCAACTTAGCAAGACTGTCTCAAAATAAAAAATAAAATAGGGCTGGGGACGTAGCTCAGTGTGAAGGTTCGGGGTTCAATCCAAAGTACTAAACAAAAAGATATTTGATTGATATAATATAGCATATAACACAATTGCAAGTAGTTTTCCCATGTAGCCCAACTTTCAAATATCCCCCACTCCACACAACTTTAGGGTAGCTGGAGGTAGGAGCAGCTTCCTCTCAGCTCAGGGGTTTTCTTTTAACAGCAGCACATATTTATAGGAGGTCTCCCACAAAGGACTTGGGCTCTTTCTTTCTTTCTTTCATTCTTACTTGTATTATGAGTACAACCCAGGGCCTTGCACTGAGCTACATCCTCAGTAGTTTTTGTTTTATTTTGAGATAGGGTCTTGCTAAATTGCCAGAACTAGGTTTGAATGTATGATCCTCCTGCCTCAACCTTCTACTGTAAGTAGCTAAGATTATAGATGTGCACCACTGTGCCCAACAGTTGGATGCTTTTAGGTGCACTTTTACTTAAACTTCCCAATAACACATGGAATATGAGCACTGCTAAGCCTAACTAACAAGTAATGAAACAGAAGAGTAGAAAGGTTGGGTGATTATTATGGCTTGTGTCTGGATGTGCTCCTAAAGCCTCATGTGGTCATAGGTGGGGGTTTTTCAGAGGTAGCTGGATCTAGAGTGTGTGATGCTGGGATTGATTCATGGTGCAAGGCTAGGCTCAAGGGCACTAGGATTAAGGGTGTTAGTGCTACCTGCCCTAAGTAGCCTGGATAAGACATAAGGGATAGAAAGAGCTGTGATCATCCCTTTTTGCTTTGCTACCTTTGTCTGCCATAAACTTTCTCCTCTGCCATCCACCCTGCCTTGGAGCCAGCCAATTATGGACTGACCTCTACAAACTGTGAGCTAAATAAACCTTTCCTCCTTTAACTGGGTGTCAGGTATTTTGTGCCAGCAATGAAGAAAGCAACTAAGACAATAACCTATCCAGGTTTTTGCTCAAGTGAGTGACAAAGCCAGGGTTCTACCCAGGTCTCCTAATGCTTCTAATTCTAAGTGTAACATCTTTTTGGGGGGGCTACTTGCATTGGTTCATCAGTGTCCCCTATGAGGATGAATGCAGGTCATGGGTAAGGGAGGAGTTCCAGAAGGAGATAAGCAACAAACAAAAGAAAGCCAGCGACTCTAACAAAACTATTGCCACACAATGTCAATCATAGTATCTGTTTGTAAAAAGGTTTGTAGGCAGCTGGACATTGGGCCCTCTGCTGGCATGGTGGTCACTGCTTACACCTGAACAGTTGGTACATTCCAACACCATCAATGCTACAGGACACTGGAAGCCTTTGCCATCAGCCCCATCAGAAGGAATTCCAATTACAGTCTTCAGTGTAGATTTGAAAGTGCTGGTGAGGATATGATAAGCTGTGCTCAGTTCCTATGTCTGTGCTCCTGCTACCAGAAGTAAGGGGAGCTTTCCACCTTCTCAGCCCCTGGGATGGGGATTCCTTCCAATCAGGAAGCAATTGCAGATGTTGCCTGATTAGAACAACAACAAATAACATCTACTATGATTGATTGAGTGAGGCCTACTTCTCAGGGTTGCTGGGAACATTGAATAAGATCATCCATGCTAAGTATTGAGTGTTAACTAGCATAAAAGAAGCTCTGAGTGAGAGAAGGGAGAGAATGATAAGGAACTAGGAAGTGGTATCAGACAGTGCTCACTGGAGAAACAGATTTAATGTAGGAGATATAAATATAAGGACTTACAAGGTATCCCTACAGTTGTCTCCCACAGAGTCAGGTGTGGAAGAGTGCAAAAGGGCTGCCTGTGTGCTGGAGATCCGAGGGATCCAGTCAAAGATTGAAGGCCTGGAGCTCCCTGTAGTGTCTTGAGCGGGTCGAGGCTGAAGGGTCTGTGCTGGAAGCCAACTAATGCAATTCACTGGAACGTTTAATGCTCAAATTGACACAATTAGTTAACTATCACGGAAGAATTCTTTGCTGAACACTCAGTTGAGCTCTGAACTCTAAGATTCCCTAGAAGTTTATTGAGTACTTCCCATGTTCCAGGCACTGTGCGGAACACTGTAGGTACATTGTCTCACTCCAAACTCATGATAACCCTATAAAGTAGATAGTATTGTTATTTCCCATTTTCCCCAATTACAAAGAAAAGTTCAGCATAATTAAGCAGTTAAGTAAAGGAAGCAAATAACTGTGCACGATCAGCCAGTTAGTAAATGCTGACGCTGGAATTTGAACTCATATCTGTCTGATCCCAGAGTCCAGACTATAAATGACTGCGCTATAATCATCCCCAGCACCAAACATCTGGGACAAACTACTGAGAGCTTCCAGCCATGGGCCAAGTCTTTGCAAAGCTTCGAGGTCAGTTCATAGAAGCCACAAAAGCACACTGAATTATTCTTTGCCATCTTTTTCCATGTTTTTATTTCCTGGGCTGGATTGCATTTTATGCAATTGATTTAAAATTTCCCTTTCTTTTTCTCTCCCAGGAATAGTGGCAGAAGCAAGTGAGAAGTAAGTGAGAAGGTGTGGAGGATGGCTATGGAGCAAAACCACTTACCCTTGGGTCATGGTAGATTTGCCGTGGCAGGGAGCCTGGCAGGAGAGGGGTCTTCAGTCATCAGTTTCTCATTAATTCTTGGAACCAGAGCCTCCCTGGCACAGTGGCAAGAAAGAAAAGGTCGATTTTGTGCTAAAAAAATTTCAGAGCTGGAAGGGACCTTAGAACGTTCTAGTCCGTCATTCTCAAGATTTTTTTTTTTTTTTTTTTTTTGGTACCAGGGATCAAACTCAGGACCTCATACTTGCAAGGCAGGCATGATGTCACTGAGCTAAATCCCCTGCTTTCTCAAGCATTTGTAAAGCTGTAGAATGCAACTCTAAAGCAATCTACCCCCTGGAAATCAAGTGAGAAAACAGAGGCCTGAAAATGAGAGAGACCTGTCCCTAGTCTTACGCTTATCTGGGGGCAAAGTCAGTTCCCAGACCCAGCAGCCATGCACCAGGGCAATGCCCTCTGCCAGAGCACAGTTCCTGGACTCTGTACCACTCCACACCCTCCTTTAAGATTCCTCCTCCAGCCTTATGCAGGTAAAACAAAAGAAGCCACCATACTCAGAGTCCCAGGGAACAGTGGGACACAGATTACACTGAGCTTCTGTATCCTCTGAGCCTCCTTCCACAGAGAAGGGAAGAGTGGTCCTCTCACATTGCCCCAGGCACTATGAAGCTGAGGCCCCATGTCAGCTCTGCTTCAGTAGGACATGGTGGAATCACTGGGGTGCCCAAGGTGGCGGCAGGGGGTGGTCTGAGGATGTGTATCCTGTGGACACCCAATCACATCTAGGTGTCTAGGTCCTAATAGGAAGCAAATGACATCCTGAATAAAGCGTCTGAGGCCCTTATATAATGAAGGGCCATTTACAAATGTGTGACCAGAGCTGAGGGAAGTTGCAAGGGTTGGCAAAGCACCACAGGCTTCAACTCTCCCAGACCTGAGGGCTGTCCTGAGAGGGGTTAGGAAGTCAGTTGCCTGCTGAGAGTTGCAGCCTCCTGAAGGAGAATGCAACTATTCACTGCAGGGAGGGAAGAGAAACAAGTACTTGTCCTTACTCTCCTCCTGTCCCACTCCCATGTGCACTGGGAGCCAGGGCAAAGTAGCCTGGATGATGCAGTTCATCCAGATAGATATCAGCATTGGGGGAAAAGGAGTATGGCAGCAGAGGGTGGGGAGAACATCTCCAGGATGGTTCAGTCTGTTTCATGCTTCTGTAACAGAATGTCAGAGCCTGGTTCATTTTAAAGAATAGGAAGTTATTCCGAGTGTGGAGGCTGGGAAGTCCAATATTAAGGTGCTGGCGTTCTGGTGAGGGCATCTTGCTGGATCAAAACATGATGGAAGGCAGATGGGTGTGAGAGGAGGAAGGAGGAAGGATTGGTGGGAAGTGTGCACTAGAGGGTAAGAACCCACCCACAGGACAACGATAATGACTATCCATTCATGAGGGCAGGCCTTGCCTGACCTGACACCTCTTAACGGTCTCAGCTCATCATACAAGGCTAATTAAATCAGATTTCAACATGAGTTTCGGGAACCCACATTCAAACCACAGAAAGGGGCAAGCAGAAGATATCTAACACACATCCCCCAGGAGAAACAGTAGGCCTTAGAAAGATCTAATTCTGCAACTCTGAGCACACACCAGCCACTCCCAGATGTTCTCATGGGACACAAGAGCTTTGCAAGAACTGATGTAGGAAAGAATTTGAAAAATAAGGTCATGAATGTGGCCTCATTTATACCTATTAGTGCCTGGGGAAACTCAAGATGCTTCCTTCCTAGAGCTCTGCTCCTGTGGGGTTGGCAGTGGAGGGATTATGTGCTGGTTGGAAAGGTGGGGGAGGTCCCCAGAGGTCCATTTGCCCTTGGGGTGCTCTTTACCAGGAGCACTCTGGCTACCATCGCAACTGAGGGGGTTTGGAATCCTCTCTGCCTTCACACCTGCATTACTGCATGAATCGCAACACTACACCCCGAGTGACAACAGACACAGTAAGACACAATCTCCCAAAAGACTGCCCGCACATGAGATGTTAGCTCAACTTTGGGGGGTCCCCAGCCAACTGTACTCATCACCTAGCTACAAATGCAAGGTCTCCCCCACCCCCTTATCCCATTTCATTTGCTAAAACAACTCATAGAATTCAGCAGAGCACTATAATGGTGATTTCAATTTTATCATAAAGAATACAAATCATATCACAGTGACATATGCGCACCTATGTTTATAGCAGCACAGTTTGTAATAGCTAAAACTTGGAAACAGCTCATTTGCCCATCAGTTGGAAACTGGATAAAGATGTGGTTTTTCTATAAAATGGAATACTACTCAGCCATAAAGAATGATAAATTAGAGTCATTCATAGGAAAATGGATACATTTTGAGGATATACTCAAGTGAAATAAATAAGTCATGCATGTGTAAATACTGAATAGTTTCTGTGGTGTGAAAAACTATAATAGTACACAAGATCCTAGTGGGATAATTAACAATGTGAAATAGGAAGAAAAGGGCTAAAGGTGTAGGGGAAATGGGAAGGGTAGGGGAAAGGGAATAAGGGAAAAGAAAAAAAATATGAGAAAATGGAAAAAAGTGTTTATAAATGGGGAAGGGAGAAGGGGGTGAAGGGAGGGCAGGGACAAGGGGAAAAAATGAGAACCGAGACCTGTCATGTAAAGGTACAGGATCCCAGTAATGAATGTAACTGTACTGTATACCTAGAATGTACCAATAAATTCAATAAAAAGAAAAAAAAAAGTACAAACCAAGATTAGTTAAATGAAGAGAACCTTAAGGTGTAGAAAGGCTTAACATAGAGTTTCTGCGTCCTCGCCACATGAACACAGGAAACATCACACCTCCCAGTGCATGAGTATTATCATCAGCTAACAGGTTCACCTGAGCCTTGGTGTCCAGCATTTTTATCAGAGCTCCACAACATAGGTGTGAGTGAGTGAATCGCTGGCTGCTTTACTGAATTCCACCTCCAGCCTCCCACCCTTGAGGTTGACATCACGTAGTTCCAAGTCCCGATCTTCTAATGGTTTGTCTTTCTGGCACACCACCTGCTGTCCTTGAGTCACCTCAAAAGAGTATAAACTCAGAAATGGCCTCAGGGACTCACCATGAATAATGACACTCCCACCACTCAGCGAATTCCAAGGGTGTAGGAGCTTTGTTCCAGGAATCCAGGACAAAGACCAGACAAATTCTTGGCCTGGCTGTTACAAGGCAGAAACATTTCAGCTGGACACAACCAAAGGTTAGCACTGCAATGGCTAGGGGTTTCCTTGGAGATGCTGTCCTTGTAGTGACTGTCTGGAGGGCTGTGTGGAGGTCTCTGAGGCTATTTTCATGATCAGCTGAAAGGAGAGGCATGATTAACAAGTCATGACGGCTTTGGCACAGAAGAGGCTAAGAAAAAGCGTGTGTGTTCCACACTCACTAACACTGGCCAAAGGGATTTTAAAGAAGGAAATAAAATTGTATTGCCGAGTTATAAAAATTACTATGCTGTTTACAAATGAGGGCTTACTTATTAGGAGATGTAAGACCCTTTCCATGTCAGCCCAAGTGCTAATGTCAGGAGGCAGGTGTCATGTTTAACCTCCATCACCCAGGAAGCCATGACTCTGTGTTTGTCCTGCACAAATCCAGACTCTGAAAGGGAGCATCTGAGCATTCTGCGTGCCTGGCTCAAACCTGCCCTGTAGGTCCTGATTTCCTAGCTAAGATTCATTTCTACCCCACTTGATTAACTTGGTGAATGTGGCACCCTTTAGGAGCTATCATGGCAACCCACCCATGTGCAGGGCTGATATTCGCTGCTGTGTACTACTTCCTGCACCAGTGGTTAAAAGGACCTTACCCAACTCCATGGCCAGTGTATTTCTGATTAATAGGAAGTAGCAGCACACTCCTACTGCCCGCTCTCTCTGCTCCCACAAATGCAGAAGGAACATGCAGTGTGGGGAAGAAATCCTGTCTTCGGACCATGGCATGTCAGCATTGCCACTGCACCCTTCCTAACAGTTCATCCTGATGGGTGTTTGCTGAGGCCTCACAAGTTTTTCAATATTGTGCCTATCTCTTTACCCACATTTGTGTCCTTGCAGCCCACACAGGACAACCAGAATTGATTTTTGGAAGGAATGGGACTGGACTCCGTTATTGGAAACTCTTCTCAGAATTATACAATACAGAACAGTATTCCCAAACCTTATTTTTAACAGATGTCCTTCATCAGCAGCATAATGAAACAGATGCTTTCTACCAGTGTTCTGGTAAAATAGTAAAATGTGTATTTATAAACAGGTCTGAATATGTAGCCACAGATATAAAGACTTTAGCATTCACTGGATGTACTTCTTGAGTACTGACTTTTCCTCACGTCTCATATGGCAGCCAGAGAAAGAAAGTGTCAGGTGAAAAAGAGCCGAAAACCAGGACCAGACCAGAACCACAACAAGCCTTTATTATGGGGAAGATCTGCCAGGATATCTCTGAACAAAGGAGAGAAAAACAACATGGCAAAACAGGGAGCTTCTTTTATAGGACTGAGGTGGAGCGAGGTAGTATTAAGAGATTGGAGAAGCCTGTGACATCAGTAGGAGGGGCTTGTGACATCCCTAGCTGCTAGGAGGTAGCAAGTATCAGGTTACTCTTTTGGCGGGAGAAGAGGCATGATGGGAAGAAGAAGCCTGTCCTTTGTTGGGAGAAGCCATATTTTAACATGGAGGCTGCTATTCCATGTGCAGCCATTTTAAGGCAAGGGAAATCTAACATTCCAGGCTTTTTGTTTTATGGTTTTTGGACGAAGGTCTCTTCTCCTGGAGCTGCTTCAAGCTGACAAAGGAGCAAAGGTTGGGGCTAAAACTGGATCTGGTGGGGACAGCTGTAGGTGGGGGTTTCTTCCCTCTGCCACAGTAGCTGGTACCCACCATGATGAGTTCCATGACTGTCTGGACGGTAAATGCCCTCATATATTCCTGCAAGAAATTTTGAAAATGACAAAGCAGACGGGGCCCTATCATGATTAAAAGGCATATTAAGCCAGGGGGTCCAAGAAGGGAAGTAGCCAAGGCATGATTTGGGGAAGCCAGGAATAGCTCTGGTCTATTCCCTCAGAATTCCATTGTCTTTTTTGCTCTTCAATGTGCTGCTGTAATTCTTTACCAATCCCTGACTGGTTAACAAAATTAACAGAGTCCTGCACCTAGCACTTGGCATGTTTCCCCTTGGGCCACTGTCAGCATGTCAAAGGCCCTTCTATTTTTTAACATGACTGCTGCCAGAGAATTTGATCTTGTACTGTATTTAAGGACTGGCTTATTTTATCCATGTCTTCTGAAATTTCTATGGATAGGGCCTGATAGAAATGTGTGGATATACCGCCCACTATCCCCACTGCCATCCCATTGAGGACCCCCCCCCTCCATTAAGAAGAGGACTAGAGGGGGAGCTGCCCTTTTTCTCATTTTGTTCTGTGGGAGAACGTATTTAGATATTTGGGCTTCTGTAAAAATGGTCATGGAGGGGCTAAGGAAGGATATGTAACAGAAAATGTCAGACTGATTGTGGTATCAGAACGCCTCTTGATTACCTATGAAGTACAGGCCATTGGACAGGCAGATCGGATGCTCTTCTGAGATAAAGAGGGAGCAAGCAAGGCAAGTGATGTTGTCATTTTGCCCCATGTTTGTCAAGGGTAGTGGTTTGTGTAGGGAATGGGAGAACTATAGTGAAGGGTCCCAGAATTGTGGGTAAATTGCCAATATTTGAGAGAGACAGGTTAAAATCTAGGGGGATGGGAATTGGAGTGAAAGAGTCGGAGTAAATGGACATACACATCCAACAGTCTGAGATATTGACAGAGAAATAGTGGAGGGTAGTATTAAATAGGTATTATAGCCTTTTTTGAGACTGGGTTTACCCCTCAGAGGTCTATCCCTTTATAGGGAGGTGGAGTGGTGGGCCTCAAAAGTCTATCACTAGCGCCTGTTCAACTGCCTCTTTTGGTTATTCTTTTCAGCTGGGTGTTTAAGACCAAGTTAAGGTGAGACCTGTGTTAATCAATATGACCATCTTGCTATCTGTCAAGGTCAGTTAAGCCTCTTTAGGCATTATTTTGAACCATGCATAGAGCCTCTCATCTCCTGTCAGTGTCAGCCATTAGGATGGGTCATAGGCTTTGCTTGACCAGGTTGCTTTCAGTGAAAGCACAGGAAATTTTTTCTTTTGGTGACCCTCTTTTGGCACACATTACATTTGCCCTCTGGCATCCAGTAATCTCTTTGCTCAGGAGGTTGGGTGACTCACCAAAGATGTAAGGCATTGTAGGAAAGGTTCCTCCACACCTTGGATCTTTGATGACCTTGGAGGGCCAGGGCCAAAATATTGGTGGTCTTCTTAGCCAAGTTACCTTTTAGTAGTGTTGGTCTCTGCCCTTTGGTGGTTGAACACCCAGAAGAGAGATTAGTGACATCAGTAGTACAGTAGGAGCAGTGAGCTTAACTATCATAACTTTATATGGGTTGCAAGCACCCTGGAACCTAAAATATAGTTAGGAGACTGTTATGTTTATCAATCATGGTTGTTCTAGTAGTTGATTTCCTGTAGAATATTAACAGAAGAAACTTGGAATCAGGAGCCACACATAATAACATTTTAGCATGACAACCATGATGACATTATCTTTGAAACAAACTTAGATATGTATCGTAGTATAAAATAGCCATTGTTAAATGTATTTATTCCCATCTAAAAACACATAAAAACAAAAAAACTAGAAACTCTTACTTAAGTTATTACCTTTTGATAGGATGCCATCTAAGGAAAGTGTATGGGCCTACAAAAGTACCTGTAGTTATGAACAGGTAGAGTAGAAAAGAAGGGCAAATACCTGGATCAAAATGTTATTGTTACAAACAATATGTTGGAAGACCTGTATAGTCAGAAAACATGAATATATTTTGTACACCAGAAAAGGAGTAATAATAATTATTATATGAAACCTTGTGCCCTACACTATAGCCTGGTACCAAAGGAATCTTTTTTAAAAACTCCTTGTTTTTCCACAGAAAATATTATATTTCGAAGATGACCATTATAAACATATCACAGTAACATATTTAAAACTCAACACTTTGATGATAACCAATGTAAACCTTTTATAACAACATATTGTTATGTTTATTGGGGGTATATCTTCCCATAAGGCTATGAAAATTATTGGAGCTCCCATTAGTGGACAAAGACCAGAATAAATTTTTCTGAGCAGCTGCTTCTTTATTCACCAACAGGAGTCTATCAAACCTAAAAGTTTATATTTAATTACCTTGATAATTCTTTATTTAACCTGTAAAACCAGGTTGTAGAAATTAACAATTTATTTGTAACTTTGATGTCATTTTGATCAAAAATATAATTGGATAAACACTTAATTGGACTAACACAGACAGACATATAAGACAATTTATGAAACTAGAGTGCACTCAAATATATTTGGCCAATTGAATTATAACATCTCTTAATTAAGACTAGTCAAAACTTTTGCAGATCAATAACAGATCTCTTATAGAACTACAATCAGAAGAAATGAAAGTTCTTTATGACTGTAAATGTAAACCTTTTATAACAAACTTGAAACCAACAAGCAAACATATATATTTCTTTGATAAATCACTATATCTTCTCTCCATACCTAGGCCTTCTGGTCTTGTGTATCTTTCTTTAGTCTTCTAACAAGACAAACATACAAAATCTTTCTATATCAAAAGTATATCCCCTTTAGCCAGGTGCAGTGGTACATGCCTGTAATCCCAGCACTCAGAAGGCTGAGGCAGAAGGATCACTGTGAGTTCGAGACCAGCCTGGGCTGCATAGTGAGTTCCAGGTCAGTCTCAACTACATAGTGAGACCCTGTCTCAAAAAACAAAACAACAAAAAAAAGTATATCCCCTTTATTTGTAGCCTCTGTGTGTGTGTGTGTGTGTGTGTGTGTGTGTGTGTGTGCGTATTCCTATCTCATTTACTATAAACCTTTCATAAGAAACTTGGCATCAGTTGTTAAAATTTTAAAGTGTTCCCTTTTTTTATTTCTTCAGTGTTATACTTTAAAATTTGATGGTTAACAATGGAGTATTTGTGACCTTCATTTTTTTAAATCAACAAAGAGCAAGTTAGCCCTATAATTACAATGTAAGAATTTACAATGCACAAGAAATGTTTTAAGCATGCTAATTAAATATTACTTTAAGCTGGAGAAGAAAGGTATATTTTTCAATTAACCAGAGCAGGAAATGATAACAAAGTTCCTGCCTCAAGGTGGGTGTAGGGTCAAGAACAGAGATTACTTGTGGTGTCCAGTGACATCTGAGATATAAGATTGCACAAATTGCTCAGTGTGTTGAAATTTTAAGTGCCATTTTTGGGCAATTGGGATTTATTATCTAATTTGTACTGAAGTCAAACTTGATTGCAATAAAAAAATGAGTCATTTTAGATTAAAGTTGGGTCCCAACAGTCCAAGGAGATGATGTTGTGCCAGGAGGCAGCCATGAGGCATTGAGGGAGGGGGTTTGGATTGTTGAGTGCCCATGTTAGAGAAGGTAAGGAGTTAGTTCCCTAGGATGAGGGCAGAAGAGAGGAACATCTTCATCTCTTTTGATACTTTCTGAGCCAGTCCCCAGAAGGGGAGAACAAGAGGAGTTGGGCCGTTGAGGTGTCCTCCAGGGGCAAGGTCCTGGGCCCAGTGACCTGAGAAGGTCTCTCTGACCAAGTGCTTGGATTTCTGAGTAGTCCCCAGAGGGAGAGAACAAGACAGAGGATCTGAATAGAGGGAAGATGAAAGCAGTGACTGGTGTGGATGTAAGCAATGGCAAAGGTAGAAAGACCTGAGGAAGTCTTGGCTCAGCAGATGTGTGGTTCTGAGGAGGTGGCCAAAAGGCCAATCAACCCCGGCCTGCAGGGCATTGTCACTTAATGGACCACCCTCCTCCCAGGTTTCAGCACCAGCTATGTCAGGTAAAAAAGAGCTGAAAACCAGAACCAGACCAGAACTATAACAAGCCTTTATTATGGGGAGGATCTGCCAGGATATCTCTGAACAAAGGAGAGAAAAGCAATAGAGCAAAACAGGGAGCTTCTTTTATAGGAGCAGGGTGAGGTTTACCTGAGCTGGGGTGGAGTACAGTGAAGTAGTATTATGGGATTGGAGGAGCCTGTGACATCAGTAGGAGGGGCTTGTGAAATCACTAGCTGAAAAGAGGTAACAAGTACCAGGTTACTCTCTTGGCGGAGAAGAAGCATGATGGGAAGAAGTCTGTCCTTTGTTGGGAGAAGTCATATTTTAATATGGAGGCTGCTATTCCATGTGGCAGCCATCTTAAGATGCAAAGCCCTATGGGAAAGAGGAGGCTGTTATTTTATGTAGCAGCCATCTTAAAGTAAGGGGAAGTTAACATTCCAGTCTTTTGTTTTATGGTTGTTGAGCGAAGGTCTCTTCTTCTGGAGTTTCTTCAAGCTGACAGAGGAGCAAAGGTTGGGGTTAAAGCTGGATCTGATGAGAGCAGCAGTAGGTGGGGGTCTTCTTCCTTCTACCACAGTGGCTGGTACCACACTGTGATGAGTTCCATGACTGTCTGGTTGGTAAATGCTCTCATGCATTCCTGTAATTTTGAAGACAACAAAATAGACAGGGTCCTAACAGTAGGATTATGCAGAGAAAAGTGAGGGGTCACAGTAAAGTAAGAAGTCATAGAAGCCATTGGTCAAAGAATCCTGGCAGAGAGTATAACTGGTTTCAACTGTAACCAATGTACTAGCACTAGCTGTTAATGATAGGGGAAACTTGGCAGGGCTGTCTGGTGATTGAATTTTCTGCTTAATTTTACGGTGAACCTAGAAGTGCCACCCAAATGAAATTCTATCAATTAAAAAAAAGATAAAGATTTATTAGAAGCTGGGCACAGTGGCACATGCCAGTGATCCCAGCACTCTGGGAGGCTGAGGCAGGAGGATGAAAAATTTAAGCCCAACATGAGTAACTTAGCTACTTAATGAGATTTTGTTTAAAAAAAAAATTTTTTTTAAGAGGCTGGAATGTAGCTCAGAAGAAAAGCCCTGGGTTCAGTCTCTGGTATGGCCTCCCCCAACTACACACACACACACACACACACACACACACACACACACACATACACAGATGAAAACGATCTCACTTTTGCAATCATTGTCTGTTATGATTATTTTTTTCTCATTCAGGTCTTTCTAAACAACAAGATGAAAAAGTAAAGAAAGGCCAAATTTGGCCACAAGCATGGATGAAAGGCTGAGACACACTTCTTGGCCTACCGTGGCTCTGGACCTGAGGCCACCATGTACAGCTGCCCAGGTGGTACACTGCATGAGGATACTACATCTAAGAGAATACATTCTCCTTATGGACTGTGGAGTGTCAGGAGCCATTCTATATGATTTTGGGGAAAAATCATTTCATAATTAAATCATGATTAGGGCCTAGTTTTCCTGTCTATAGGCCCCCTGATACTGTGATGCTCCAGGGCAGGACTACACCAGATGGAGACATCCTGGGAGGAACAAAATCTTCTTCTGCATAGTTCCTTATTATTCTAGGGTCATCACCATGCCCTCTGAATCAAGTGCTACTTTTGCTGACGTTCTGAATAAAGGTGTGGCAAGCTCCAGATCTGGGGTCTTTGCTGCTCAGAGCGGCATGGATCAGGCCAAAGCTCAGCTTCTCTTAAGTCTCATTTTCTGTCTATATATTAATTAATTCTCCTTGTGTTGTCATGGCTCACAGAAGACTAAGACCTGATGCAGTGGTTCTAGTAACATTCCCTTTCCCTGTTCCCCACAGTGGAGCTTGGTGTATTTATTCTTGAATTCTAAGTGGGGCCTTTTCCTAATTTTTTTCAAAGGCTAGTGTGACTCTATTTAGACTGTAATACTTTCAGAGGCTAGGAGGACTCCTTGGGACCCAGCCTTGCTTACCTGGAAGCAAGTTTGGGGTAAAAACCTCTGTGCTTGTGTTACTCTTCAGAACCTTGCTGGTGGTGAACCCCGTGCATGGAAAGCCTAGAGAAGGACACAAATGAGAAACTGAAGCCTGGTCACCCAGCTGTAGAGAAGGTAGCTGAAGGGTGGCTTGGGCACTTGCTCAGGGCTCACAGCCTGTGCACGGAATGGATAGCATGGCTGCTAGACTTGCCAGTCTCGTGTGAGCCACTCCTGGGGACTCGGGTGTTGAAGACTTGGATATAAAAATGGCCGGGAAGAAAAAAATGTGAGATAATGAAAAGATGAAAATAAAGTGTTTGTAGATGGGGAGGGGAGGAGGGGGTGAAGGGAGGGCAGGGGTAAGGGGAAAAAATGAGAACCAAGACCTGTCATGTAGAGGTACAAGTTCCCAACAATGAATGTAATGGTACTGTATCCCTAAAATGTACCAATAAACTCAATTAAAGCTGAAAAAAAAAATGGCCAGGAGCCTGAAGCCCCACCTCCCCCACACCCTCGAGACTGCCTGCCCAATCCTCAGCTTTGACATTCCATACTTGTTGCTTGGAGAGTAAGTGGGGACACCCACCACACCCACAGGCCCATCCTCCCATCAAGACCCCATTCTGGGCATGGCCTTGTGCAGGGGGCAGGGCTGAGGAGTTGGCTGTAGCAGCCCAGATGGTTGGCCACTCTGTCTTTAAATCTTCTTCAGCCCCTAATCTGATTTCTAGTGACGTTATGTGGGAAGCAATGTTATGAGAAGACAACAGCAACAGCATCGTGCAATGAGGAGAGCAAACAGGTAAGGAAGGCCAACTGAGCAGATTCCCAAAAGCCAAGGTCCAGGACCATGCCAGTTCTGAGCCGGTGAAGCAGAGTCACAGGCCCTGGCAGGCAGCTGGCAAGTAGTTAACATGGAGAGGACTGGGGGACAAGGGTTGAGAGCGAGTTGTAGTCACATCTCTAGGTTACATTGAACATACATTAAGCAGTCACTGCACTCGGTAAGCAACTGTGAGAATCTGCTGGAACTCTCTGCTCCAGTCCCTGGAGGCCTCTCCAACTCCTTCTGCAGCGCGCCTGCCTTCTCTCAGCTCAACCGATGCCTGTGCTTCACTCTGGAGAGGTTGATGGTGTCTGGACAGGGAGGCAGTGGAATGCAGGTGGCAGACTGAGGAGCGATATTGCTGATTTCCACTCTCTCTGACTCCCAGCCCATTTCCTCTCCAGGGACTCTTTCAAGGGGACAAAACTAAAGATGCTGCTGCACACATCTCTTGGTAAAGTACCCACACAGATCCCCTACAGTCTGATCAGAATGGCAGCCAATCTGATGAGGAAGTGCCATCTGAAGTGAGCTCGGTGATCTGAAGAGGAAAAGTAAGGAATCACTTGTGCAATAAACAGTGAGTAGGGAGGGCATTGGACCAAAAATCAGGTAGGCAAAAAGCAAGAGTAGGTGAGGATGGAAAGGCTAACTTGGACCAGCAGTGTCTGATCAAAGTGCGGGGGCAAGCAAGAACAATGGGGCTCATACCCACGGCCCTGTTCCCCTTTCCCAAGTCATGCACCTGGCCCAACAACCTGAGGCAGCATCCATTAGCACAATCATGGAGTCTGGCCCTGGGTTTGGGCTGGCTGCCTCCCTAGGACCAGATGGAGCAAGTCTTCTCAGGCTGGGCTCCAGAGATGGGAGTTGATTCAGGGGATAATGAGGAGCCTGCTAAGGGTTTGAAGACAGAAGAGAGATGTGTGAAATTGAGTTAGATTTAAGGACGAGTTCATTTATGAGACAGACGCCATGACAGGTGATGACGGGCTGCACCAAAGTTAATTGGGAAATTCCAGTGAACTGTATTTGTTCAGCTTCTGAATGAGGGAATGGGAGACTAGAAAACAGGAACTGCTCAAAAACGTATTGCACCCTTTGGATGGGAAACAAGAATGCTGACAAAAGTGGGAGTCCGGATTGAGCAAGATGGGCAGAAAATAGCTATAGACCTATGGGAACAGAAACCAGCACCTTAACACCTTAAACACGGCAGGCACTTCAAATGACCCTCAACCATTTAGCACCCCCTTAGCTGGCCTCACACCAGAATGCAAGGAAAGAATTATTTTCCCACTACTGTGCTGTTTCAGCTGAAAACACCCTGATGTCAAAGTACCAACTATGTACTGAGGACTAACAAAGGAAGGTATAAAATTGGGTTTCCTGGTAAATATTTTGTTCTTGAAAACTCCTCCCCTGCCAAACCTTCTGCACAAAGGTATCCCTGACACGGTGACAAGGCCCATCCCTTTAGGATGAGACATAGCCATGCCAGGCAAGAGTCTGATAAAGGAAGCAAGGCATGCTATGAGATCAAGATTGCTCTCCCCTCAGCCAACCTGGGAAAGTGGAATTTATCTCCTGCTGTTGTTTCTGAATAAAGATCTTGGTTTTAAGTGCAAATAACTGTCTGGTAGGGAAAACAAAAAGCTCATTACTAGCCATTCACACCTTGATTCATTTAACAGGGCCCAAAGGAGGGCAGAGCCTCCAGGATAAAGAATAATAAATATTAATCACACTTTAGAATAAATTGAGAAGTTATGCACTCATTATCTTGATCCTTACAGCAATCCTGAGAGCCTTACAGTATTCTCTCCCTTTTATAGCTGAGGGAATGAGGACCCAGAGACTTCCAGTGACTTACTGAAGAACACACATGGTTGCTGGCAGAGCTGGGACTTGAACTCAGGGCTCCTGAATCCAGCCTGGCACCCTGTCCTCGGTGTGGGTGGTAGGTAGCTGCTGAGGGCTGTGGGGTACTGTCCCAAGGTTATGTGTGATGCAGGCCTGAGAAGACCAGAGTTGGGGACTCCTTGAGGCATGCCATCACCTGCCCCTACCGCCACACTGTCAAGGCCTCTGTCCTAAACTCAAGGGGAGATGGAATAAGGATGAAAGAATGGTGAGCAATAATCTCTGGCTACCTGTCCACCCTAAAACCTTCCCCTCCATCCCAGTGGTTAGCTTCTCAGGCTTGCCCTGGAGAACCTACCTACAGTCACTGTGGGCTGGCATTTTCTCTGTCAGACACAAAATCATTGTGTAAGGGCTTGGCCCCTCTTGGGCAACTCTGTCTACCCAACATGTGACCATCCTTACAGTACCTCTCTGAGGTGCTCAGAGCTCAGATCCTGGAGCTGACTCCCTGTGAGTCTACAGTCAGTAGAGAAATAGATGCTGATGAAGAAACTAAATTTTGCTTTCCATGAAAGACTTTGTCTCCCAAGTTCGGGCTCTGGACAGGTGTTTACAGGAACTATGTTTTAGAAAGACACACACACACAAACACACACACATACACACACACACACAACCAGCCGTCATTCTAGATTCAAACACCTAAGTTTAGAAAAGCTGCCTCTTGAGGCCAAAGCCACTCCTCTTCAAGGCTGGCAGAGGAATGGAACAAAAGGAACAATTTATAACTTGAGAGAACTTTAGCCCTCACCTCAGATTGGGAGACCAGCAAGACTTTCATTATCTTCAGGAGAACTGTGCCAGTGCCCCTTTGGAAATTCAAGATCTCTGAGCTTTCTCTGCCTGTTGCATCCACAAGGTACAACCACTTAACAGTTTGCAAGACATTACTGGAGGTTAACAGATCTGAGGCTGCCCACCTAAAGGCCTCAGGTGGAGGACCCCCAACCCCAAAATAAGACTCTATGACTCCTCCTCCCTACCACCCAGGCCTCAAAGGGCATGAACAGTAGACTTGAGAAAACATCTACCCCATGCCCTGCCCATGATTCAGACCATGCCTCCAGCATATACTATAATTTTAAAATTAACATATTAAAACATCAAGCCGAGCCTCCATAGGTGACCCATTACAACATCTTTCATGCTTTGATCTTGTTAATGGGCCAATGAGTGTAGATCATTCAATTTAGCACTCTAAAGGACAATCCAGAGTCAGGCTCAGTGGGGGCTGATGATAAAAAAAGGAATTTGGTGTGACTAGAGGAACACCATGGTATAGCCAGAAAACTATATGCAACGAGTTATCTTTCAAGCTAGGCCTAAATTCAGATTATGGGAGAACAGGGAGGCAATCTATTTATAGATGGGAAGGAAAAATTAGGAAATGGCCTTATCAAAGAGATGTTGGGTTGAGCTTTGGATCTTCACGAGGAAGGACTCCAAATAGTAGAAGGGAGGCAAGATGCAAATGCGTCTGAGAAAAGGCAAGGATCTGGTAAAGCTGAGTCATGACCTGATATGGGAGAGTACTGGAAGAGGAAAAGAAAGAGAAAAGATGGCCATTAGCTCCATTACACCTGATGTCCAGCAGAATATAACCTGGGATGTGGAAAGAGCATAAGAAAGAGAGAGAGATTAGCAAGATGGCTGCCATACTGAACACTTGGGCATGACCACCAGAACTAGCCAGCTTCTCCTTCGAGGAGTAGCATCTGTAGTGAAAAATGGGTTGAAAGAGGGAAGCCACTTCTAGCCCTAGCACTCACAGGCTGGGAGATCTTGGATGAGTTCTCAGCTCACCAGCTATCACTTGTACAAGGACAGTGTTCTTATGATATTGCATTCTTCCTAGCAGAACACAGATGAGTTCATAAAGGGGGTCAGTAGAGCAAGGCTTAATAAAGATGTTGCTTATAAAGGGAGGGGCAACAAGTGATGGGGAAATGATAGGATTTGCAACAGCTGGCAACTGTTATCACTCTTGGATTTGAAGGGACAAGAGAATGAAACTATTAGCTGTAATGAAAGCTGCATGAGCAGGCATGTGCTCATTGCTAGAGAATGCAGCCACTGCCAATTGTGGCAAGGCAGGTGGAGGCCTTAATAATGAACACTCCATCCTACAACTACTCTTCAGTGCCTCTCACTGAACATATGTAAAAAGCCAGATGACAAAGGGTCTGGTTGAGGCAATCTATACATACCATCTTCCCACACAGAGAGAGATACAGAAGGAGGCAAAGGGAAACATCTCATGTGGATGGTAGGGTGACAAATTGAATAGTTAATTATATGCTTATAATAAAGACTATCCAAAACTCTTATTGGTTAGGATGAGGCTAATGCATATATTTAAATTGTTAAAAAAGAAATTTAAAGGACAATATTATGAAATAGAATGGGTGCTATAAGGATATGTCAAAAATCACAAAGACAGCATTTGTAAAACCTGAAGTTTGGGGAATTCTGGGCTACATATAAGATTTGTTTCGGCTCTGACACCTTGCTGAGCCCTACGCTGGGTCCAGGAAAAAAATGCCAGGCAGTGTAAAAATATACTTTCAGATTATTTGTATCATTACAATGGTATGATCATTCCACCATCCTGTTTATTCTTCCTTCTAAAGGCTAAGGACAAAAAAAAAAAATGCTCCCAAAGACTGGATCAAGAACACCTCCAACTGAAAATAATTCAAACATCCACCAAAGGGGTTTAAAAAAGTTGTGCTGTGCCCATACCTTATGGTGAATCTAAAAGTCTCATGTGTTCAGAAATAGGACTTTTGGGTGGTAACTGGATCATGGGCACTATGCTATTGATGAGTTCATAGCTGAATGTGCTGGAGGAGGCAAGTCTCTGGGAGCATGACCTGGGGGAGTGTATTTTTGTCCACAGCTCCTCCCTTCTTTCTCTGCTTCCTAGCTGCCATGGGCTGAACAGCTTTCTTCAACAGTGATGCTTGTTCCTTGGAGCCAGCCAGCAGTGGACTGAACCCTCTGAAACTGTGAGCCGAAATAAACCTCTCCTTCTATTGGTTGTAGGCATCAGGTATTTTGTCCCAGAAATGGGACTGTGACTGACAAACCATACTATGTAGCAACAAAAATGAACAAATGTAAACTACATGTCGCAACATAGACAAAACTTGTAAACCCAATGTTGAGTGAAATAAAACAGATACAGAGTCTCTACAACAGGATTTCTATCATACAAAAGTCAATAATATGCTAAGCTAAGCAATGGGGTGGAAGTCAGAAGAGTGATTACCATGGTGGCAAGATCGTGAAGTGGCAGTGAGAAGGAGCCACTTAACTGTGTGGCTGTATGGTATGTTCACTGAGATAATTTAAGATGCATATTTATGATTTTCAAACTTTTTGGTTGGTCTGATTTCCATTAAAAAGTTTATAAATTTAAGTGTTCAGAAAAATGAAAAGCTATGATTTTTCCTTGCCGATCCTAGTAAAGTGTTCACAAAGGACGTTCCCCTCTGGGACAAGAAGACATAAAATGTCCCTGCTGATTGAAGACATGATTACTACTCCATGTTCACCGACATTCTTCTCCTACCCCTCACAGCCCCCATTCTTGGTGAGGCTGCTGCCATCCACAAGTGTTTCAAAGATGTCCAAGTGATTGGCATCAACACTGCTCTTATTCCTAAATAAAATTCCTAAATCTAGTTTTACCTGATTGACCAGATGACTGTTATTAGTCTCTAGTCTTATATAGTGCCAGGAAAATAGATGGGGGGGGCTACAGTGGAGTCCCCAGGAAGTTGTTGACTCCAGGAATGTGGAATGTTTATTGAGTAAAGCTGTAGGCCTGAGTGGAGCCATTGCAAAAGCAAGGCCATGTGGGCTCCAATCAACAAGGCTATAGGAATGGGCCTGCTCAAGCCCTCTGGAATGCACGTTTTATAGTCAGGCACCAGGATGCTGGATATGGAGCACAGGACTTGAATTTGTTCTGCTAGATTTCAGTCTTGCTTTAGTTTGATTTATTTTTTATTTTTAATTTTTTTTATTTTTAGTACTGGGGATTAAACTCAGCTCCTTGTGCTTGCGAGGCAGATGGTGGAATCACTGAGCTAAATCCCAGAACCTAATTTTTTTTTAATCACCCTATTTCCCCCTCTTAGAGTGGGAATGTTTGCCCTGTGCCATTGTTCCTTGGGATTTTATGCAACTAGTTTTTTATTTTTACAGATGTTCACAGCTAAGAGTTTACTTTAAGTCTCAGTAGGGATTTAGGCTTGGATTTTTTTTTTTTTTTTTTTTGTACCAGAGATTGAACTTGGGACTTTGCACTTGTGAGGCAGGCGATGGAACCACCAAGCTAAATCCCTGGCCCAGGCTTGGACTTTTGAAAAATGTTGGAACTGTTGAGACTTTGGGGAAAGCATTATTACATTTTCAATTGTATGCAAGACAGTTGCATCATGTTAGGCAATTATGACTTTGTGTTTATTTGAAAATCAAGTTAGTTTAAGGAGATGGGCTCAGGAGTCAAGTGGACAAGGGGTGCAATGAGATGGTTAAGCTTCATTGGGTTGATTTGTCTCAGGGATTGCCCAAGAGATTGGAGGAGCACACCTCCTGGTGGGTCCTGGAGTGTGACCTTGGGTACTATATCTGATTCCTCACGCCTTCCTCTCTGGCACCATTCCCTTTCTCTGTTTCCTGGATGTGAAGGACTGAGCAGCTTTTCTCCACCATGCCCTTGCATTATAATGTTTCTGCCTTGGAGCCAGTTGACCATGAACTGAATTTACCAAAACCTCTAGTCAGATTACATCTTTTCCCCTTTAAATTGCATCAGATATCGTGTCCCAGGGACAGGAAAGCTGACTAGTATAGTGACATATTTCTTTATGTGGATTGTGGTATTTTAAATTGCAAACTCAGATATCTTAGAACTTTCGAGGAATCATCTTGGGCTTAGGGAGGAGAGTGTGCTGCAGAGATGATTTGCTTTTTGAAATGAAACAATTTACATTAGTGCTTAGCACACTGCCGAGCACATAATAGGCATTCACCAAGTATCTGTGTGATAACTGGGTGAAGAATAAATGAAGTAAGGGCTTCAAGATGTGCCTGAATCTTCAGAAGGCTTCCATTCCTATGGGACCATTTTCTCAATCTGAGCCTCCCTCTGCCAACAGCCTTTCCATGATGTTTTTGCCTGTTGTTTGTTTTATTTCTGCTTCTCCTGTGATTACTCACAGGAAATA